GAGTTATGTTACTCTGGGCTTGTATTGATGGTTTTTACTTATTTATGTACGCATTTTTACTGCTTATGTAAACAAACAATCTTCTTGAGCCACCACCATAAGCATACTCTTTTGATCACTTTTCTCTCTGAGCACTACCTAGCTCTAGTCCAGAAACCCTCTAGGGTCGAATGCACCTCCTTGCAGGTATAGCAGCAGGCAGTCAAGACCAATACTTTCTGCACCCAGCAGAATGTTGTACCCACAGCGGTAATGTTTGACAAGTCTGTAAGTGAATAATAGTGGTTTGAGGGTTGTTTTTGCAAGTCCGAGGGCAGTATGGATGGCTGGCTGAAGACGGGCCTTGTTGATGATGCAGTTGGTGAAGGTGGTGTCAATATGGTCCATCGCTGGTATAACCATAGCGAGGTTTGGCATTGAACAAGAGAAAAACATTGTTGCGTGCTTGAGAATCTTACAATGAGTCATTTTGATTAGTCAGCAAACCAGCGGTGCGCAACATTCAGAACACATCACTCACCTTCAAAACATCACACAATTCTTTTGCCAGCATCCACTCTTCGTCATCTAGCTCATACTCTCCCAATCCCAGTTTGCGTTTGTCAGTAATTCGGTCAATTGTGGTCCGGTACTCCAGCACAAACTCCAACATGTCAAATGTTGAGTTCCAGCAAGTTGCAACATCACATGGCATGTTTCTGACTCCCAGCTGCAAGTCCTTCAAGATCTCATGCCAGGCTGGCAGCAGGAGGGTGGTGGAGTGAATGAGCTTAAAGGCAAGTTTTCGGAGCTATGCAAACTGGTGATTGTTTTTTTTGTTATATTTGATAAGATAAACTCACTTTGACGAGTATGAGCCTGATAGGACAAATATTGTTGTGGAGTTCACGTTGCTCATCTGGCGTAAGTAATGCAACCTCGTCAACCCATCCTGGTGCATCATCATTGCCCTCCTCATCACCATCTTCCACAGTCACCCGCTCCTCAAGCTCCATACCCTTCACAAGATCATCAAGGGTTTCATCCCCATTTCATTTTGGTGGGTCGAACTGACGTATTAGTGACTTCACAATGAGGTTTACAACATGGAGGAAGCAATGGGTCTGTGAGTTCTTGCCCTTGAAGTGTGCAACATTGTTCACTAACTCGGATATCATAGTATCATTGTTCGACATGTTATCGGACATTATGCTCAAGATCTTCAAGATTTGTGATCAACGTGGTAAGTCCTTCCTATTCATGTCCATACCTTATCTGTCTGATATCCCGAAGTCTTGCAGAATCTTCGCGAATGCTTCTGCTAGGGTCACACCACTGTGCGACTGCGTGTTTCCAGTAAGTACATTGTTCATAGACATAGATTAACTAATTGCTCACCTTCGGTACCTCTACAATGTCTAGAATCATAGCCACAGGCTTGCCCTTGTGCTCAAGATGCACGGATTCTGCCATGAAGGCTTTGTGATTGGGTGACATCCATGCATCCATCGCAAAGTTAAGTTCACCTTCGTATTTCTGGAGCATGTTTGCTATTCGCTGATGTGTTCGCACAAAGACCAGACGGACATCATGGGATACTGTAGATGGTGAAGGGATATAGTATTCCGGCCTGCCTGTTTTCATGAGGGATTGAAACCCTCAGTTGTTCACAACCTCAAACGGACGAAAGCTTTCGGAAACCCAATGGACAATTTCGGCCCTTAAATATGTATATTAGGTTGATCTTGTGTACTGAAGGAAGTACTTACTTTGTCTCCATTTTTGTGTGCTGATGGTGTGAAAAGGTCACCTTCCCTTTCCCCTTTCGTTCGAAAGAGGCTGTTATTGTGCCTGTCATAAGTATACCCTGCACAACAGTTTCGTGTGCCTCCCTGGCATTTTTGGTTTGAACTGCAGCAGCAAGTGCATCTTCCCCCCAGCAGTTTTTGACATGCTTACACATGTTTCCAGTTGACCTCGCATCTCCAGTATCGAGGAATCGGCGGATTCATTGCTGACAACCTTTTGCAGCACATTTGAATATGTGGCATCGTCAACCATGTGTCACGAATTCCTAATACGAACCATTTTTCGTTTCTCGGTTTTCCTTCGGCTACTTCCAGTACCCGAGCCGGTCACGTGACTCCGCGTCATAAGTCACCCATTACTTCTCTGATTGGTTCCCCTACTCCACGGGCTAGAACAATCTCGATTCCCAAAGAAGAACCAGGTCGGAACTTGGGTTTCTGTTTAGTTGCCGTCTTACTCATCTGCTTATATATCATGAGTCATCTTTAGTCATCCGCAGTAGTCGTACGACCTTTTTCTTATTGGCTGATTTCTTTCAGACTCCTATTCAATGTTATGTATATAAGTAGGGTAGTTAGCGTAAGAGCTCCTTAGACTTAACCTCTTCGTTTCTACTGTTGTAGTAACCTAGACGTTCAACGCTCAATCCAATCCTGTTACTCATCATCATCCCTGACCGAGTCCTAGTGGTCGTGAGCTCTCCTTCAACATTACTGTTGGACGTGGGTCATAACATTAGGTTAAGTCTCCTTTACCACTCCGACTCGAACTTCGTCGTGCTGTTCTGCTCGAGAATATTCTCGCGGATCACGTTTTTTGTCAACTCATCATTTCCCCGATGCGCTTTAGTATCTCAGTTTCTTTACGTTAGTCTTTTAGTAGAAGTGGACCAGGCCCTCGTCTTACACGAGCCGCCAGTTCATAAGGATCAGCGACTTTAGGTCCTGTTTTCCGCACGTCTACAGTCAGGCCCAAAACCCTGCCGACTGTACGCTACAATATCTGCTTTCTTACGTAACAGAACGGCACTCGCGGGTCTTATAACCCTAAAAATACATTACGATAGGAACCTAGGGTGCTGAAAGCAGACCCAAAAGTTCACCGCGTCTTCGCGAACTCCTCTCGAGTTCATTTAGGTCGACGAATCGCTATACGCGCTTCGCACCGCCGTCATCATTGCCCCGCCATACAGATCCCGCTTAGTCGCGGCCAGAGAAGCACTCCTTCACTCTGTTTCCTGTTTGGATACCTCTTGTAGATTCTTCCATGTCCGAGAATCTAGGAGAAACTGGGATCGTCATTTCCGAGGATATGGAAGTGATCGACGCTCCTCCAGCGATACCGAGAGTAACGACTCCACCAAGGGAAGCAATCCACTCTCCAGCCCCCCAAGGATGGAGAAACCCATTAAACCCATTAAACCCATTAGCACCTGCAGAATCATCCACCACCCCAACCGCAGGCCCTTCTGCACCCTCCGGCATCTCCGGGCCCGGGTCGAGTATCATCACCCATCAGGACATTTCGCACGCAATCAACGCCGTCGTCGTAACAGAAAGAGAGTACACCAGACACTTCATAGACGGTCTGCAGAAGGAGATCGACGAGCTGCAGGCGGGTCTAGTGCATGCGGACGACGAGATCGATTACCTGAAGATCAGGGTAAGAGATCTGGAGAACTCCTTGACTGTGGCGGAGAGCCACATCTCGGTTTTGCAGAACTCACCTACGACGAAGATCCCAGGCGCTACATCTGGGACCTCAGGTTCTGATCTAAAGATGGCGAAACCAATGGACTTCACAGGCGAGAAGAACTCCATCGACATCGATACCTTCCTCACCCAGCTCGCCATATACTTTACCGGTTACCCAGGAGCGACAGAACAGCAGAAATGCACCTGTCTCGTTTCCTTTTGTCGTGGAGCAGCAGCCAAATGGGCGGAAAGCATTACCCCCATGGCGCTCAGCGGACGCCCCGGGTCATATGACAGCATCGTCAATGACATGAGGGTTATGTGGACCGTCGTAAACAAGGAGGAGAAGGCAGCAAGAGAGTTGGAAACTCTCCGACAGGGCACTCGTACCGTCGGAGAATATATCTCCCTCTTCCGTCAGAAACTCGCCTTCTGTCATTTCTCCGACTATGAACTAATGCGCAAACTCCGCCATGGTTTAGACCAACGGGTCAAAAACTATCTGGCTAACATCCATCCCAACAGGAAAGACACTCTGGAGGGATTGATAAGGGAGGCGCTTCTAGTCGGGCAGAACCTCGAGGAGCTTGACGACGAAAGGAAGATGAGCTTCGCTCAGCGACAACCTTGGCGAGGCTCCGCTGTTCCACCCGCACCCGCTGGAGCACCCAAGACCACGTCGCAGGGAGGAAATGCGATGGATGTAGATGCAAACAGAGCAGGAGGCAGACCCCGGCCTCAAGGACAACAGGGCGTAAAATTCACGTGCTATCGCTGCGGAGGAGAAGGGCATATGGCCCGTAACTGCACAGGAAAGCCACTCGACACCAAGGGCAAAGGACCAGCAGTCCGCGCCGGCAAGGTGGAAGAAGTTCCAGCGGTGAAGGCGCTCACCCTGGAAGATATTAACCGCATCGTAAATGAGAGGATCTGCCTCTCCAGCATGTATAACCCAGCGAAGAAAGAGGAGCAAAAGGGTTTTTAGGAAGATCGAAGTCGACTGCGGACTTAGATCAAAAAAATCGTTTTTCCATTCTCGGTGACTCGGCAATTATGTTTGCAGAAGTATCAGAAGTTTGTTCTGGGAATAAACGAGACCATTTCTACTTGCCAGTTACGTTGGAAGGGAAACACAAGAAAGCAGCTGTCAACGCTCTAGTGGATTGTGGAGCAACGAACCTTTTCCTCAGCAAAAAATTCGTAGAAAAAAATCAAGTTCAGATTAAGCAGTTGTTGCGACCAATGTCGATCCGGAACATTGACGAAACAGATAATTCCGCCGGACCAATTACGCATTACGCAGATTTAAAGCTTACCATAGGGGATCATGAGGAAGAAGTAGCCTTTCTGGTCACAGACCTAGGATCCTGATGATATTATCATTGGAATAGATTGGTTACGATTCCACAATCCCAGTATCGATTGGAATGCGGGGAAGGTGGCATTAGACCGTTGCCCAGTTAAATGTCAAGAAGCCAAGGCTAAGAACAAAAAGACCAAGGCGAAGAAGCGAACAGCCATAAACTGTTCGACCCTTCCAGTGTTGCCCAATTCGATACCGACAGAAGATGACGAAGATGAGGATATCGAGGAAGCCTCTATCCATCATCGGGTTCAATCGAACAGTCTCAGCTCTAAAATGCAAGGACATATGGGTACTATACCTGCCAGGCTTGAGGATGAAGAACAATCGGACCTTGCTACTACTGTTGGTCGGAAGGTGGAGATCGAGGAAGTCGAGGATGAGGATTCATCACGGAACGTGTGGATCAGGTACAAAAGCTCTGTAGCATCAGAGTTAGCACAGCAGGAGGAGAAGAAGAAGGAAAAGAAGCCCGTAGAAGAAATGGTGCCGGACTGGCTCCATGATTATCTTAAAGTCTTCTCCGAAGAAGAGTCTACTCGATTCCCCGAGTCTAAGAAGTGGGATCATAAAGTAGATCTCAAGGATCCTACTGACCTTCCCCCCAATGCGAAAGCATATCCTCTGTCCCCCTGCCGAAAATGACGCATGTGAGAAGTGGTTAAAGCAGGAATATGATTTGGGACGACTGAGAGATAGCGAATCTCCAGTAGCAGCTCCTTTCTTCTTTGTTGCTAAGAAGGACGGAAAGCTTAGACCCGTCATGGACTATCGGAGGTTAAATGAGAAAACCATCCGAAATGCATACCCTCTCCCTCGTTCTCAGGATCTTATTCGATCGTCTCTCCGGTGCAAAGCTCTTTTCGAAAATGGACGTTCGATGGGGCTATAATAATATCAGAATGAGAGAAGGAGACCAGTGGAAGGCCGCCTTCAAAACTCCTTTCGGACATCATGAACCAGTCGTAATGTACTTCGGCATGACGAACTCCCCAGCTACCTTCCAAACTATGATGGACCAAATCTTCCAAGATCTAAAGGAAGGCAAAGTCGTTGTAGTCTACATCGACGACATCTTGGTCTTCACCAATGGTGATGTAGAGAACCATCGGAAGGTGGTACGCGAAGTATTACAAAGGTTGCAGGACAATGATCTCTATCTCAAACCGGAAAAATGTTCTTTTGAGAAGAAGGAAGTGGAGTTTCTCGGTTTGATCATCAAAGATGGACACGTCTCTATGGATCCAGTCAAAGTAAAAGGAGTTCAGGAATGGCCCACTCCTACCTGTGTCAAGGACATTCAGCGATTCATGGGATTTGCGAACTTTTATCAGTCGATTCATTCTCGGTTTTTCGAACATTGCCAGACCCATGAATGAACTCATCAAAAAGGATATACCCTGGGAATGGACGGACAAGCAAGAGAAGGCTTTCAAAACGTCTGAAGGACAGGTTCACTTCCGCACCAGTGCTAGTCATGCCAGATGCAAATAAAAAACAAAAGATAGAGAGTGACGCATCTGACTATGCTACTGGTGGTGTACTTTCTCAATTGGAAGAAGGACGGACTATGGCACCCAGTGGCCTTTTTTAGTAAATCAATGCAAGATGCAGGAACGCAATTACGACATTCATGACAAAGAACTTTTAGCCATCATCCGCGCATTGGAAGAGTGGAGGCATTATGTGCAGGGCTGCACCTCATCCGGTAGAGATCTGGACGGACCATAAAAACCTCGAGTACTTCATGACGAGCCAGAAGTTAACTCGCAGACAGGCAAGATGGTCCTTGTTCCTTGCAGAGTACAACTTCACTCTGCATCACAAACCAGGAAAGGTTAATGACACTGCCGACGCTCTGTCCAGGAGGCCAGACCACAGAGGGGGGGTAGAAAACGACAATTCCGATCGCGTGCTTTTGAAACCCGAGTTTTTTCATATCAAAGCCGCAAAAAGAGGTCAGATTCTGATAGAAGGAGAGCATTCGCTGTTGAAGCGTATCAGAAACTGCACCGATTTAGATCCTGAAGTTCGAAATGCTATCCAAACTCTGAAGAAAGCTCCTGTGCAGTTGAGAAGAGGATTGGAAGAGTGGAACACGGAGGATGGACTCATTTTGTTCCGGGGATTGGTTTACGTTCCCAAGAATAAGGAAATTCGTCGCTCAGTGCTAGAGATCTTCCATGACTCGCCTGCAGCAGGACACATGGGACGTGCCAAGACTCTTGAACTTGTCTCGCGGAACTATTGGTGGCCCCAGATGCAGAAATGGGTCAATGACTACGTAGATGGATGTGATCGATGCAAGCAGACGAAAGTGCTACCGTCAAAACCCCACGGACCTTTAAAACCGAACGAAATTCCAGAAGGGCCATGGCAAATCATTAGCTGTGACCTCATCACCGATCTACCCATCTCCCAGGGCAAAGACAGTATCTTGGTAGTCGTTGATCGTTTCACAAAGCAAGCGCATCTTGCTCCGACCACCAAGGATGTTGATTCCAAGGGAGTCGCGGACTTATTTCTCAATCATGTATGGAAGTTACATGGGACGCCAAAGAAAGTAATCTCGGATAGGGGAACACAGTTTGTGTCCAAGTTCATGCAGGAAGTCTCGAAACGACTAGGAACCAAGTGGTCCATGTCAACAGCATATCACCCACAGACTGATGGACAGACGGAACGAGTCAATCAAGGAGTCGAACAGTACCTCCGACTCTTCACATCCTACCGTCAGAATGATTGGGTTTCTTGGCTTCCAATTGCTGAATTCACGCATAACAACTCAGTAACCGTCACTGGACATTCCCCATTCAAATGTGTCTACGGATATAATCCCGAGTTTACAATTTCCCCTAATTCTTCCAACACGATTCCCCATGCCGACCAGAGAGTAGCTGAGATGAAGGAGGCACAGGAAGAAACGAAGGCAATGCTGGAAATAGCGAACGATCGAATGAAGCACTTTTATGATCATAAAGTAAAAGACGCACCGGAATTCAAACCAGGTGACAAGGTATGGTTAGACGCGACAAACATCAAACAACGCCGTCCGAGCCAAAAATTGTCCGACCGCCATCTGGGACCATTCGAAATCGAAGAGAAGACTGGCGAGCTAAACTACAGGTTGAAGCTCCCGGTTAAATATCGCGTCCACCCGGTTTTTCATGTATCGTTACTCACCCCACATCAAACCTCTCAACTCGTTGATCGCCCACCTCTAACGCGCCCGCCGCCGGATATTGTTGATCAAGTCCCAGAATATGAAGCAGAGCAAATATTGCAAAGCCGCCTATACAGGCGCAAGTTGCAGTATTTAGTAAAATGGAAAGGATATGCAGTAGAAGAAGCAACATGGCAGTCAGAGGAAGATGTGAAGAACGCGCCGCTCATTGTAGCCGACTTTTATGCAGAAAACCCAAATGCGGTTAAATCGGCACGCATCTCCGCTTCAATTCTGACGACCCCTGACTTCCTCGAATGGAGACAGAAAAATATACGACCATCTTACATTCACGAGGACGCTCATCCTAGAAAGGGGGTAATGTCACGAATTCCTAATACGAACCATTTTTCGTTTCTCGGTTTTCCTTCGGCTACTTCCAGTACCCGAGCCGGTCACGTGACTCCGCGTCATAAGTCACCCATTACTTCTCTGATTGGTTCCCCTACTCCACGGGCTAGAACAATCTCGATTCCCAAAGAAGAACCAGTCGGAACTTGGGTTTCTGTTTAGTTGCCGTCTTACTCATCTGCTTATATATCATGAGTCATCTTTAGTCATCCGCAGTAGTCGTACGACCTTTTTCTTATTGGCTGATTTCTTTCAGACTCCTATTCAATGTTATGTATATAAGTAGGGTAGTTAGCGTAAGAGCTCCTTAGACTTAACCTCTTCGTTTCTACTGTTGTAGTAACCTAGACGTTCAACGCTCAATCCAATCCTGTTACTCATCATCATCCCTGACCGAGTCCTAGTGGTCGTGAGCTCTCCTTCAACATTACTGTTGGACGTGGGTCATAACACCATGTACATACTCAATGTCAGCTTCAGGATGAAAAAATGCATAGATGGGTGAGTTCCAGTCTTTTTTCAGACACTCTGACATTGATTTAGTGTGCGTCCAGTGATCAGCAGATTGACAAACCAAGTTCTGCCTCCAAGGATTCTCCATCATCAATGTTCTTGCCATCACGAGAGGTGTCAGAGTCAGTATCATTGATAATAATGGTATTGAGAGCATCCTCGTCTTCTTTGGTGTGAACAATGGCCTTATGGCTGCTTGGGAATGTGGGTGTGGGACTCAAGCTCTGAGAAGAAGAAGACTCGGAGCTTGTTTCAAGTGTGGTACCCTTGAGTTTTTTTGAGGTCTTGATAGTGGTACTGCTATGGCTAGCTTTTCGTTTGAGCTTGTTGGCTCATTCAGCCAAAGCCTGGGCTACCTTCGTTGTGAGCTTTGTTACCCTTTTGCCTAACTTAGACATAGTATCGTAGATCTAGATAACAGGGTTACGAGAAGAATTTCATTTTAGATTGGCTTTTGAGTATAATAGGAATAAGGTTTTGATGTCCTATACAGTTGTGACAGCTGTGACACCAAAATGGATAATTGAAGAGATGGGTATTGACAGGTCAGGGGTCTGTCAAACTGAACCGCTACCCGTACCCCTAGAGACCCTTACCCCTTACCCCCACGGGTTACCCATACCCCTGCTAATCCCTAGTACCAGTGTGGCAATGGAGCTAGTGAGAATGAGCTAGGTGTGTTGCTAGGACTATGGTCCAAAGGTAACAGTGGTGATGGTGGTGAGGATCATGATTCAAATGATTCCATGCAGGGGGACTGGTCAACCATCATATCATCTGTAGTGCAATTCCTAATCTCAACTATTTCTCCATCTTCAGGATTGTCATCCATGTGAACATTGTCATCACCTGTAGCCAGTGGTTGTGATTGCTTGGGAACATTAAAATGTTCCAATGCAGCGGATGCAAAATCTTGCCCTGCGTCTGCAGTAGAGAATGTGTAATTGAAAGCTGGGTTTGTCTGCCACCAGCCGTGAAGGTCAGGCCACCAGGGAAATTTTTTGAGCTTTGTATCTGACAGAGACACAATTAAGATGTGCATATGAACAGCAGCTGAAACTTACCAATCAACAACTTCATCTGCAGATCCTCTTGCAGCTCCACATATGTCTTTCCAGCTCCTGACTGCTTGAGTTCCTTGTTGAACTCATTGTATTTTTTCTTGAGCCTGAAACATCTGATCAGTGATTCTAGTGGGAGGATGGATGACACAGGAACTAGAGACTTATGTGCCAAAATGGGTTGAAACTGGTTTAATAAATACCTTTGGGTCCTCCTTGAAAAGTCACTGCACCTCCAGATCCTCATCATTCAAAAATACAGCTTGTGCAACCTGTGAATAGAAGATATCTCTTGAAGTTCCACTCTGCTTCTTCTTCCGACCTTGCTCCTTGGTGTCCTTTGCAGAATCAGAGAAAAGCTTGATATGTGCGTCTTCATTTTCCTTGCACCAGGCAAGTAGACATTCAGTATGAGCACTATGGACCCCTTCCCAATGAATAGTACACTTCCTCCCAGTGTCCATGCTGGCAAGTGTGCTGACCCAGACTCCACCTCAAGCTTTCTGATTGGAGCGTGACATTGTCCAGGGTGTTTCTTATAACAGCAATTAAAGATCAGATTGATGCTTTGGCAGTGTCGATGCCAGTAACAACAATATCGAGCACACTGGCAAGGGCAGGGCATGGCAGAGTTCAATACCTGCCATACTGGCAGCATCCAATTTCGCAAAATTTTGCTGTGAATTTTTTTCTACATTCGCTTTGAGAACCACTATTAATATCTAAATCAGTATGTTTATCAGTCATTGCATAATAATATCTCACGCTTTTGATGACTTCGGCCAACCTTGAAAAGGGATTTTAAGGTACCTTAAAATGCACATGACCCAACTTGTAAGCCGGCAGCATTACAATGGGTCTTTGCTTTTTTCCGACATATGATGATCGCTATCACTATTGTTAATGATATCCATCCTTCTCCACCTTCTCAGGTTGAGCATAGGACCAAACTGCTCAATCAGACTGCTATGGAGATCACGGAGGATCTGACGTGGCTGAACACCTCATCTTGATGCATCAGGTAGTAAGTCACCTATAATGGACTTGTGAGTTTGCTGATCAGGAAAGAAAGTCCTCTCTTGGCACCAGCTGCAGCACGGAATTGAAAGGGTGGGCATCTTCCAACAAAGCTCCTCCACACTCCTTGAGGCTGTTGTTGACGTACTTACATACAGCAGGTAGTAAGACCCTGTCGCAGGTTTGTACAACATATACACAATTTACAAAGTAGCTGGTTGGTTGATTAACCACTCTCAGTCTACCTACATCCACAAACTCAAAATGCTTTCGCGCCTTGGTTGAATATGAGAGCTAATCTCACCGCCGACACTTGACTATGTGTCCCGGTCAATGATCCAGAGGGCAATGGCAGTCATGCTATCCAAAAATTCTTCCATGTACGATTTATCGTACACGTCGGAGAACTGCCAATCGTCCGGTCAGTTGCATGCCAATCCCGCGAAATTGACTCACTTGTAGATGAATGTGCAATTCAGAGCGCAAGGTCCATATGTGCGTCATTCTGCAGGGCATGGTGAACGGGATACGCTTATAAAACAAATGGGTCAACGCACGGACGATAAAAATCTATCAATCTGCCCCCGATCCTCATGTCCGAAATTTGCACCATTGGGTTCTGAGCTCCTATGGGCCAATTGAGAGGGAGGCTATCCTCGACCCTTTTGAAGTTGTTGATTGCGAGTGCATTTGGATTGTCTTGGAAATATTGATCGTATCCGATGTGAGGAAGATGCTTGTTGGACAGCCGGATCGAGTATTGTTCCCTGATCTTCGTCATGACCGCAAGTAATTGTGCTTTTGGACTTGCCTCCCAAGGCACGTCGCTCGCATAGACAACCATGGGGAAAGCGCACAAGAATGAGACATGATGCGAACGTGCGTCGTGGGGTGGAACTAGAAATCGTTGGTACGCTATACTGATGACCTCTCATCAATTTTGCGTGATCACAGCATCGAGTCTACTTACACTGTGAAGTCCAGCATAACGTTTGCCTTGTCGTCACGAAGGGGTTCCGAGTGATGGGCCCTCAGAACAGTAAGCATCTGAGCTGCTTCAAAAAGCTGGGTGACAGTGAAGTCTGTCAACGCCAGTGCATCGAGAATTTCCTTGAACGTTTTTGCATCCAATATTCTATGGAGGCGCGCAGGTGCCCTTCGCACAAGAGCTTGATCTCGTTGTGGTATCAGACCTTTCGAGTGCTTTAGGGGCGTGAGTACTTGTGTTGGGGATGGGAGACAGCGAGAGCCATTCACCTGTTGATGTTCCATCGCCTGACGTGCCGCAGTATGTAAGGCCTCTACTCCAGCCTCCCAACCATCCCTTGGCCCTCCAGTGGCAGTGACAGGACCGACCGGAAGGTTTCTCCACTCTTGCCCCCAATCAAGGGAGTCAAGGGACGGATGAGTGTCGTTAGTAATGAAGTCAAAAATACGATAGAGAGCATTGTATATGACGAAGGCGTCCGCGAGATAATGAGCAGTGTGGAAAAAAATCGAGTGCAACCCACTGGGGCGTAGAACAAGGTGGCAACCGAAATGTTGCTTGATGATAAGCTCATCGCCATTTGTGTAAGGCAGCCGGACCTCATTTATGGAAAAGACAAAATCGTCGTCGGACATTGTTGTTCTGTGCACCGTGAGGCTTGCTTCCGCCCATTTCTTCGCATCTTCAAGAGTGAAAACGGGTTCATACAGCCATGACTTTGCCATAGGAACGGTTGGATCTGGACCGTGTTTATCAACGGTCGCTGCCAGAAGCGGGGAAGAAAATCTAGGATCTAATCATCAGTACTGTCAAAAGTAACTGCATTGAAAGTACCTCATGAAACATAATGCGTTTTGGATAGAGGACACCAGCTGGGACTGAGGGATGATGCATGTGAAAGACACCCCCATGCAAAATTCATTTGAGCTTTACGATGTCAGGCGGGTTGTTCCCAAGTCGTGTGTTTGCGCTTGCTTACCCATCCGTCGGTTCAGAAAAATCATGGTGCAACAACTCTGACCCATACAGAGGCCTGTAAAGACCAAGGTCAATTGGTGGAAACAGTGAAAAATGTGTAAAAGACCTCGTATAGAGTCCAGCATGGAGGGTCCATGGTTTCTCTTCTGCTGTGAGAGACATAGTGGCAGACAGGGAGGGGACGGTGGAGCGGTGTATCCGCGACTGTGTGCCTGCGTGTCGCGAGCAAGGCAAAGTGATGAAGAGCACTACCCACGACAAAAGCCCAAAGAACACTGAGTGGCTGACTAAGCTACGGTGCTACCCGGCTGCTACTCCGCCCCTCGCCTAGGGGTCCCCCACTCCAACGGAAAGGCTGTTAGCTGTAGTTCTCGCTGTCCATAAAAAAGCCCTGTCGGTAACTTAATTCCATCCACCTACCATCTTGGAGGTAAGTGAGAAATAGTACTGCCCTTTGCACTGCCAATGTGTTTGTATCAATCCGGTCTAACGATGTGTAGGCCGGGTCTTAGGCGCCTCATGCTCTTGGGCCAAACGCCCGCTAGGCCAGGAAAAATCAGGTCTACACTGCGTGTTTGCAAGGGGCCAGCCGCAAGGCCCCTGAATGGGGTTGTGACCATGGGTAAGTCTGCTACGAGCCCACGATGTTCAAGGAAGCGAGGTCGAATACAGAATTGGTGGCATCGATGGGAACGGCGATGGACGAACAATGTGGTGAGACAAGGTTTAATGAAAACGATTCTGATGCGGATAGGCTGATAGATCTCGACAGCTCCATTATTTTCGGACTCGGCGAGAGGGTGATTTGATGCTGATGAGAGAGAGATGCGGGTAGACTCGAGAGTCAAAGCATACAGTGGGGATACGCGTTGAATCTCTACGAGCGAGCAGCGGGAGGTCAAAGCACTCGTGAAAGAGGTGCTAGCAACGAAAAGATCAGTGAAGTCCGGGCGTGAAGGTGGACTCCTGTGAATTTTCTTGGAGATCGGTCGATTTCTGCATTCTCTGAACGAGATAGACAAACAGGTCCTGACTTCACAGCTCCACGCAGCTCCATAAGCGGTTATTTGTGAGCCACATAGATCTGGTCCAAGGCTGGCTATCGGTATTGTAACTGCTCACCGTTATCAGTCTCCATCGTTCGCTATAGCCCTGATACTCCGTCGCGACGAGTATTCATCACTTTGTTTCGCCAAGTTTTCCCTACTGATCGTGTTGAGATAACCACAAAGCCGCGTGCAGATTTCGGAGATGAGTAGTGTGAGTGAAGTGAGAACAGATATAGTGCTGATACGGTAAGACCCAAGGTGAAGTGCATAGCCTGCGGCGCCACCAGGTCTTCAGGCATACACGTGGAAACCGGAAATTGCGGACAATATGTCCATAAGAGAGTTATTTCAGTATGCATGTATGAATAATCTCATCACCCACAGAGGTAAGTAAGACCCTAATGCCAATGCGGATCGCGTACTGAGTGCTTAATTGAAAGGCTTCCGTGCATCTTCAACAACGTTCTCGTAGGTGATGGTCATGTCGTCAGGGACCGCAAGTGCAAAGCAGGAACCTGTCTCGATAATGAGGCTATATGAAATGCCAGGCAACGGAAATGCAAAGAAAATTGTTGACCGAGATACGGTAGATACCCGCATCTTCCCGAGGCACCAACAAAGCCCGCAGTGCTATAGGAAACATAGAGCATCATGCAGGTCATCTGGCAGAATGCGGGGATCCTGGGACGTCGGAGAATGGCATTGCATGTTCAAGACGACGAGATCTTTTTTGCGGCTGGTAAACCCGGAATTCTTATTGAAGAATTATTTTTACACACCAAAGACTATAAGCACATGTTGATCAAATAGCATGCAGCCTGAAACGATGGTAGCGGCTACCTACTCAGTGTATATCAAGACCGCCCTCATCATTCCCACCAAGAAGTCTATTTTAATTTTTCTCGATGTACTCAGACCACCAACCCGGCATCTTGTCTCGGATGTATGAGGGTCAGCATCCACGTACGAAGGGAATGAAGGAGGACCTTTTACCTGGCAAATTCTTGCCAAGTATCTCATAAGCCTTCTGTTCTGTATGGTGTTCTTCAGATCAAGGTCACCTTCGACATCAACGCCAATTATATTCGGAACGTTTCTTCATTTCGACAATACTTCTGGGGCAAGTTGAGTTGCATCATGATTGAGGACGACGATCTTGTTTGTAAAAGAAGAAGGTCTACATGCGTGGCTGCCACTGAACACCTCACCGTTATCGCGTCACCAAGCTGCGCTTTGGGTCCATGCCGGCACTTGCTAGCTACATCATCACCGTGTATCATGCCTTGCGGGTTTAACGTGCTACAAGAGCTATTATTCCTGGCGCTGGAGGAGGGTTAAAGTGCGCGGCAAGGATTACCGGACATCTATCATAGGGAATTCTTGTTTGCCTGACATTTCTTATAATTTATACACACTATCGACCAAGACCCGCTGATTCCTCAACTTGATGTATTCAGCCCAGTGACGCAGGCAAATTATCGAAATCTTTGTGATGCACTGTGTATCCCCTGTGTATCCCATGAACCACCAAGGGTCATGGCTCAAGCCGCGTCCGGGTTTCGGGGGCGAGCAAATCGAAAACAAATAGTGTTGGATCTTGATGCGATAAGGCCGAAGGTGAAGTGCAGCGCTACTAGATCTTCAAATATGTAGTTGCGACCGCAAAGGACTGCCTCTGGACTCTGGAGTCTGGGCAACCATGACCCTCGAGACGAAGTGTTCACCTGAATCCTCGTGATTTTGCTACAGACTCTACAGCAGACAACAGCACCGACGAGAATGCGAAAGGAGATCACTACGTAGAGGGCAAGATAATGTATCAGGAAAATTTCTACAAACAACTATAAGTTCAACATGGATGACTCTAAAGAGAACAAAGGATCAACGACTCGAACTTATGAATCTGTACTCGATGAAAGCAATATATATGGAGCTACACACCAATATGAATGAATACCATTCTCTGCTCAAGCGGCACTTCCTTCTTTGGCACGGTGCGCGTAGCGTGGTTAAGTGCCAAGGCCGCCTTCGTACAGTCCATGTCACCGTCCTCCAAATTTTCGAACATTTTGTGATAGAAAGCCTCAACGACGTGTTTTGCGACAGCGTCATCGACCGCCCAAAGAGTTCCAATGACACTCTTAAACCCCGAAAATTGTAGACCAGCAGCGAGATGGATGACTTCGTCAGGTGTCTCCTCATCGCCGACGGCAGTATGACACGCTGATAAAAATGCGAATTCGGCTTGCGGAGCATTGTTCTCCATGATGTCAAGCAGCTTCAGAGGTTTATCTCTCATGGCGAAACGTGAGTGATATGGCTGCTCGTGGTCCTGCTTGCCATGACAAGCGAGGTGCACCCAAGTGTTGCATCGCAAAGCATCAAGTGCACCTGCCTGTGTAGCCTCGTCGCCAGATATATTGGTGAACTTGATGTTGGGGGGAACAAGTTTATGGATGAGCTCAAGCTCGTTGTCAACATCGGCGAGCACCGTGCCTTGCCCAGCACCTGGTTGACTTTGCCCAATTGCCGCGAAGGATGGAGGCGCATGGTTCTTCATCATCTGTCGAGACCGGATCAAAGCCGACAGCGTTGGCGTGTAAGAGCAGATGTAAAGATCCTCTAGGGATGATTCTTGCCCAGAACGATCTGCCTTGGTCCGAAAGGGGTGAGCTGCATGGAGAGGAATGGATGTGAAGGCTGCTGTGGGACACAGCCAGATTCGAGACCGGCGCCGCAATTTGAGGTCATGCTGGAGGACCATCAACGATGGGGTAGCATGATCACGTCCCATATTTTCCTCAAGATTACTCGCAAATCCTTCCTCGGCTCCGTTGGGCCCATCAGACCAGCGTGCCGTATCTCCCTGGCGAAGTCCTTCTTGAGCATCTCTAGATCTGTGAGAGTGACAGACGGAAAGGGAACATGGTGGGGCTGTCCTGACGTCGGGACAATGAGGGCGTCACATGAGTATTTACTGGCATTAAGGATAATGACTGGGCCATGGCACGCTGCCACTTGCAATTCTTCATACGATGGAGGGAGCAGGAATCGCGAGAAACCTTGGAGATTTCGGATTTCACCTGCTGTAGCTTCCCATCGCGTCGTAAGTCTCCTGTACTCTACTGCTGCCTGATCAGCAGCAGCTCTATCCGTGATAGCTGCAGAATCCTCAGCGGCGTTGGAAATCAGCTCGCTCAGCTCCGAGAAGTTGTGAGCTAGTTGCGGGTTTGTTGATTCGAGGTCTTCAAGCGGGAGTCCTGAGTCGGGAAGCCAGCGACCATTGCTGGCCACGGCCCTGCTCCACAAGTTTCGACGGCCTTTTGCAGGTCATGATGGCGTATGGCACATGATGCTGCATTTGCAGGAGTGTTGTAGCATATTGGAAGGCAGCAGCAGCTTCACGCCGCGAAATGATGGATGACCGTGTCGCTAAATAGCGTCATGAAGCTCGAAAAATGCCGTGTAGGCCTCCAGCGCAGATCCGTGACCAGGCTGCTCCGCTGCGACAGTCCCAATTAGATGACAGCATGATGCGTTGTCGCAAGCTTTGAGTGGGATGCCTCGATGCCAGTTTCATGTTCTCGATCGCGAGTGACAAATCAGCGGGGTTGTGTAGAGTCCGGTAACGAAACAAATAGGCCTCATGCAGCCATCCATAGCTGAAAAATCTGTCCGGGTGCAGTGGAGGTAAAGTCGCCAACGATTGCTGGCAGAGATTAATGGCCTCCTCAATATCTTCATTCTCCAGAGTTTTCGTGAAACGAGAGCGGAGTGCCGAGCTCAAATTGTTAAGAGTGACATGGCGCTCTGGATGATCATGCTTCTTTA